AGAATGAGAAAGAACATGAAGAAAGGAATGTACGCTGACAAATCCTGCGTAGGTAGTACAGGATAAGGTTGTCAAAAAAAGGAAAAGAAAGGGATAGAGCAATGAATGCTGTGAGTAATGTCACAGGTTTGTACAGCCATAAAGTAAAGTCCAATAGCAAAAAAAAAGCAGGAAAATCATGATGTCATGGGAAGATGCAGTAAAAAAAGGGCAAGGAAAAACACTATCAGTATCAACACAGTATCTTTATTGTCAGTCAGGCATTTTAAAAAATATGTGTTTATAAAAATGATTCAAAAATCAAAAATAATTGCACTGTAAATGAATGTTCTGCTGAAAAAAAAGAAACTGGAGCCACTGGTCCACCACCTAGTCCAAATCCAACGGTTCCATGGCCTTACCAATGGACTGGTTGTGTTGGACCACCTAGTCAAACGAGGGAGGGAGAGGAGTAGTCCTGGAACAAGTGAGTCCCAGGCAGCGTGTGGTAGGTGTAGCTGTAGCGAAGACGATGGATAAAGGATAAGTGCACCCAAGTGAATGGGACAGCGATGAACATGGGCGACGCAAGGGGATGAACCTTCTCCAGCTCAAAAACTACCCACTCACGCTCCAACCAGGCAAGACGAGCGACTGATGTTTTGATAGTATATGATGGCAGATCAATGTCATGAAGATGGACCTGTTGCCGTATTTGGACCGGCCGCCGGGGCTTTGCTGATATCAGCAGTGGCACATGGTAGTTGACGGATTGGCAATGGAAGTGGATAGGAAGTGGTAACATCAGAAATGGTGGAGGAGCAAAGAAGATGAGGAGGAGGAGGCTGGAGGTGACGAAGAGGTGGATTAGAATGGGGATCCAGAAACGACCGTCGGGTGAAAATAAAAAGGAGAGGAAGGGGCCCATGGTGGGGCTAGAAAGGGGAGTAAGGGAAACGATGAAGGCAAGGGCACAATGCAATGTGTAGCCAGTGGCGCAAAGGCGAGTCTTTTTGAATATTCACTTTGTTATTAACACCTGTCCATGCTACCAATAAACTTTGGTGTATGACACCGTGTGAAACCCTACAAAGGGCCGCTGCTGGGACAGCACGTAGACCAGCCCGGACCGGTTGTAGTCACCCAGGAAGGTGAAGAAGAGTTCAAAGTCAAACAAGTGGTGGATGCACGCTTGAAGCGTGGAAAATTAGAGTTCCTAGTCCTATGGAAGGGCTATGGAGACGAGGACAGAACATGGGAACCAGAAGCCCATCTGGAAAACTCCCGCAACACTGTTTGCAAATTTTAGCCTAAGAATCCCTCGGCTCCTAGGAAGCTTAGAGGCATGGACTCAAACCTTTTTAATTCCCTTTTTCAACCTATGCCCAAAAATTTAACTACTACCTCCGGTATTTGGTCTCGCCTGGAAGTCAAACCTTAGAGGGGGGGTAGTGTTACAATAACACAATTTTCGGACCTTTAATTTTCATTCTCCTCTTTAACTTTTTTCTGTAGTTTTCACACACTGTGACATGTGGCACTTTCCCTTTGTTCAAACTCCTTTTTCTCGTGCTGCACTGCCTTTTCTTATTTTAGCTACAACTCTCTCACGTAGTGGAGCTGGTCACACGGACTGTGCCCATGACATCATCAGCCACTGCCCCCATCAACTGTATAGTACATATGTACAAAGAAACCTGTAGTAGTATATATACCCCAATAGATCAAGGAGACTCCTCAGCGAGTCCTCCTGTTGTTTACCCATTGTCTCCTTGCTCAATCTTCGAGCTACCCTTTCAAGGTATGTTACTTCCACTTTTTCCTGTACACTGACTTCATTTTCAGCTCAATATATTTGTTCGATAGAACCGTTGGTTGAGTGGGTGATAGGATTGGGATAGATGGATTGTACAAGGGTTGGATGACGTTGATGACAGGTGCGTCATTCTGATTCTCAAGTTTTGCTGAGTTGTTTACTTGCATAGGTGCTCTCAGGACTTCCAGTGGACTATTGATGGATCAATGGCCCCATACACTTCACACAGTCCTTCTTTGAGCTTGCCATTTGCCTCTTGGTAGGCATATATGATTCGGTATAGTGAGTCTTGTCTCTATCCGGTGTAACGAGTGTGACGTGGCAGCGTAGCGTAGTGTATCTCAATGAAGAGGTTACTTTCAAGTGATTGACTGTAGAAATAAATCAGTGATTTGAATGAATGTATACTAGCTAGTAAAAATGAGTGAGGCGCAAGACAGGGCTCATAACCTATTGAAATATGAGATGCTACCAGCTAGCATATGTGAGACATGACCGTTGAGAGCTCATCATTCCACTACCTAAAGCAGACATCTGTGGCCAACTAAGTGGCTGTGTTTAAAGGGTTCTAGTTGTGTTACATTAATATCTATACAGCATCTGTGTATGATGATATCTGAATGAGGTAAAAAAACCAAGTACTATAGCTATGGTATAAGTGGCTCCTATTACACAATTATATACATATGGACCACTGACACCTGTTACATGTGATATTATTGGGATTGTCCTAATATTGGGACATTGCATGGGTTTCCGGGCTATTAGCCATATAGCAATACAGAAGATAGGATTTTACAGCTAGTAGCCAGGAACTGGGGGGTGACTGAAGTGACTTTGTCTGGTGTGTGTAAAGTAGAAGAAAAAAGTAACTGGGGGGTCCCCACTAGCTGTTTTTCAGAATTACCACTTCCCAGTAGGGTATCAGATCTCAATCTCCTACTATCCACATATATTGTTAAAAAAAATATGTACTTTTATAGTATGAAAACTCAGGTCCAAATGGTTGTCTGGGGTTAAGCCACTTTTCAAGCTAACACCCCTTCTCCCAACTGGCAAAAGCAAGTGCCTGGCCTGGTCAAAGATATACAAACAAGAAGATTTTAACTATGTAGATAACACTGGCTCTACACCAAGTGCCACTAAACTAACTACATTCTCTTAATACTAGGGCCCATATACCGTTTCAAAACTTGTTTACTTCTATTTCCTCAGAAAAAAAGAGTTTGTCTTGAACTCGGGAAAACAGTCAATAAATTTTATTGGAATTGTGTTCCTCATGCTCTGCTTTTTGGTATGGCCCTGTGCTTTGCTCCCATACAATACTCTGGATATCCGCTCCAACTTCCTACCACTAATTTTTAGTCTATCATATGTTCCCTCTACATGTTCTTATGTTCCTCATGGAGTCTGTAAGTTAGACCTTATAATACACTCCTCTCACATATGATTTTTTCTTGCTAGATAATTGTCCACATAGAACTCCATACTTACATTAATAGTTACTCCTTACAAACTCCATTCCCTCCAATAGTATATAAGTTGTAGCTCCTATACTCTATTCTAATTAGGAATGGTGAAGTTTGGTTTGGTGGTTTGGTTCTTGGACACTTTTATCCAAACCCCAAATCAAACCTGCAATTTGAGTGCTCAAATTGAACTAAAACTGGTTCAGTTGATTCAAACCATGAACCAATTAATGCCCCTGAGGGGGACAGGGAGTAATACTGAAGCCAGACACTTGAGGGAGGGCCTAAACAATGTATTAACATATTGCCTGGGTCCCCCCTCAAGAAGTGGTGGTAGTGGAGGGTGGTGTGAAGGTTTGTCAGTTCAAACCTGTTCAAACCTAGTTTGGGCAACTGTCATATCCATGCCACAGGCTATGGTTTTTGGACCTCCAAATAGCCAGAAACCCCCCAAGTCTGAACTCCTGAATCTTTGGTCTTCTCGGAATTATGCCCCTTGTGCTCTGCTGTTCAGCATAGCCCTGTACTTTGCTCCCATATGGTACTCCGGATATCCACTCCAATTCTCCTGCCCTAGACTTCCAGTCCACCATACACTTCTTCTGAATGTTCTCATATTTCCTTATGGATTCTGTAGTTAAACCTTATGGTACACTCCCCTCACATACAATTCCTCCTCACTAAATAGTTGTTCACATGGAACTCTGTACCTACATTATGAGTTCCTCCTTACAAACTCCACTCCCTGTGATTAGTATATAAGCTGTAGCTTCTGTACTCTGTTCCTATAGTTCAAACATCAATAAGTTCCTCCACCTTTTACCCAGGTTTTTTTCTGTATTTTCTGGTCCTTTGGAGAAGGACCATTACTCTGCTCTACTTTCATCCTTTACTTTCCCTTTGTTCACTCTGTTCAGTTAGGGACCAAGGTCTGTGGAAGGGCCTAGTGCACAAGCTAAGCCAACTCCCAACCTTGTACTCCATTCTGCTCCTTAAACACACTCCATTCTCCAAAACTCCAATTACTCCAAAGGTCACAATTCTGACAGCAACAGAAAAAATGCCCAAACCATGGACCAGACCAGACCAGACCCAAACCTAGAGTTTGGTTCAGCGGCTCTTGGTTCTGAAGTAAACTTTACCATCCCTATAGCAGTTCAAATATCAATAAGTTCCCCATGCCTTCTTTACTGGTCCCTTCTAAGTCTTCTAGGTCCTTCTCCAAATGACCTTTACTCCTCTCCTGTTTCATCCTCCATTCTCCCCTCGTTCACTCTGTTGAGATAGGGACCAAGGTCTGTGGAAGGGTCTAGCACACAAGCTAAGCCAACTCCCAACCTTGTACTCTGTTCCACACTCACCTTGTAACTCCATCCTCCAAACTGTGACAACTCCAAAGGTCACAGTTCTGACAAGCTTCCAAAGAGTGCAAAAAGGGTGTCAAGATTCTTGAAATTATGGCATTGATTGTAGATTAAAGCAAAGAGGACATCCAGAGGCTTTAGGCAGTGATTTTGGTTATATAATGGTGAGTCTCAAAGACATATTTCTCACAACATTAAAACCACATCTATAAGATCATGGGAGCCTCCTCAAAGTGCTGCCCCAGGTGTTGTGAATTTCAACATTGGCAACCCTAGACTATGAATCATATGTGTATGAGAAAGAGTATTAAAAATAAAGATGTTATTGTTAAGGATCCATGATCGTCACTATTAGTTTGACAGAGGCAATGGTTACGATAAAGATCCGACAAATGCTCGACGGACTGATCTGATAAACTGGTAAATGTCTCTAGTTTTATTGAGATCATCTAGCAAAATCGGGAGGTTTGGAAGGAGTGGTGTAGTCGTTGTTACTGAAAGGATACGGTGAGATATTGCTTTAGAAATACAGTTGTCCATACCTTTGTATATGGAACAAGAAAGGTCTAGAACAAAGCTAAATTCCTTATCCGGGTTGCGTTGATCCACATGTGAAAAGCGAATGAGAAGGTGATCTCTCTCGATGCCTTCGATGACACACTGTAAACGCCGCTCGCAAGTTGAAAGTTCAGGTGGTACTTGTGTAGCGAACGAAGTAAGAGTTTTACATTCGTTTTCTTTTTCTAATTAGCTCTTGAGCTTACAGGATTGATACAAGTGGGTGAATCACAAACCTCGACGCATGTTTGCTGTTGCAGCGCGGAATTGCTGGATTTCTACATCAATGGCAGCGCACCTCTCACGAAGATGGCCCAACTGTCGCCTAAGCGCTGCGATTGACTGCTCGAACTCTTTTTTTTCCTCCTGTTCTTTGGCTAAATCTGGTAGAATAATTTATACGGGCATTACCCAGGAAAACAAACAATGAGTTTACAAACCGGCGATTAACTCAATTTCCTTTGCCTTGCAATAATTCGTTTCCGCCTCTATGCTATGTGTCTTTTCTGCCAACTTTTTCTTCTCTGTAATCTGAGAACTTCTGTGCTTAGTGATTTCGACAATGGCGCGGTTGGTGTAATTAGATACGGCTTTCAAAAAATTGCCTGTTGAAGCATCGTAAGCGCGCAGTCTAAGGTCAATCAGAGGATTTGATTCTGCGAGAGTAGGTGCAAGGTCAATATGAGTAGGCCGATGCATGGTAGTCTTGCATTTAAGCCCAATAAACACACTTGGAGGAAAGACACGCCCCGCACGTGACCGCATGAACTGGTGATTACACTGACAACCACGTTTTGCTATGATAGCTCTGTTATTGGGTATCATTAACTCGGACGCGAGGCTTGACGTACGATAATCAGGCTTATCGCTTTGCTTGACTACCTCCGCAGGAAACAAAAGAGACGCTGTATATTATATGTCCTCTCAGAGACCCATCGAGAGCGGTTATCGCGACATCCACATGGACACAGCGAAAGGGATAACTATGGGGCTAAAGGACATCCACATGGGAACATCCAAGGGTGCTTTGAATGCTTGGAATGACGATATCAGGATGGAAACCGCAAGAGGTGGCACGACTATGAAGCAAGGAGGGTTTCAGCTCTGGGAGAGAGAGCTTCTGGGAAGTGGGGAAGTTAAACGAAAGGCTACAGTTGCTCAGCTCTGTCTGTTATTTCTTTCACCTTCATTTCTTCCATTGATATTGTTTTTTGGGCCTCAGATTTTTTAGATTACTATTTTCAAAACTTAGGCTATTTAGCCGCTCGAAAGGAACGCCGCACCATGTTTGATTCCGACACATCTGCACGCCAGCTCTCCCCAACACAGTACACAAAAGAATTCAGATCATATTGTGGCCGAGAACGCGTTCTTCTTAGGAAACGTCGCGCGAAACTCAGGGTGGATCAATTCCACATCATCGCACAAGTAGGCCAAGGCGGCTACGGAGAAGTCTTTCTGGCTCGGAAACAAGAAACTGGTGAAGTGTGTGCCCTGAAGAAAATGAAGAAACGCACATTGTTCAAAATGGACGAGGTAGGAATTTCTCCGAACCACGATCTGCTTCGATTTTTTAATCAGACGCAGGTTCGACATGTTCTCGTGGAGCGGGATATCCTTACTGCAACCAAGACCCCTTGGCTTGTACGCCTCCTTTACGCGTTTCAAGATGCACAGCACGTATATTTAGCGATGGAGTACGTCCCTGGGGGAGATTTCCGAACCCTTTTAAACAATTCTGGTGTTCTGAAAGAAGAACACGCGAGGTTTTATATCAGCGAAATGTTTGTCGCCGTCAACGAATTGCATAAACTGGGATATATACACCGTGACCTTAAACCCGAGGTGGGAGAAGCCTATCGACTTTTCCTGCTTTGGAATGTTCCATGTTAATATCATTTTAAGAATTTTCTTGTGGACGGTACTGGCCACGTCAAATTGACTGACTTTGGCCTCGCAACCGGAGCACTAAATCCAAAACGTATCGAGTCTCTAAAAGTCAAAGTGAGTACAAAGCTGTGGTACGCTGACATATCCTATCTTACGCTTCCAATAGCTCGATAAAGTCAAAGACAATCAAGTCATATATCGCTCAACGCTTGAACGTCGATCCCTCTACCGCTCAGTCAGGAATGAAGACCCTCGTTATGCAGATTCCATTGTTGGTTCTCCTGATTATATGGCTCCAGAGGTACTCCGAGGAAAACCATATACGTTCTCTGTAGATTATTGGTCCCTTGGTTGCATATTCTTCGAATTTCTTGCGGGATTTCCACCTTTTAGCGGAGGCACACCTGAGGAAACTTGGACCAATCTCAAAAACTGGACAAAAGTTCTGAGGCGACCTGAGTATGATAAACCAGAAGACCTTATCTTCAATTTGACTGACATTGCGTGGGACGCAGTGACCAGGTCTGTGGCATCGTTTTACTTGCTCAACTCAATATTTACTCGAGTCAACTTGCTTTGCATGATTATTATCCGAAGACTCATTTCGCACGCCAGCGTTCGTTTCGCTACTTTGGCCCAAGTACGCAATCATCCCTTTTTCGAAAATATCAAGTGGGAAGATCTCCGATCTGTGAAAGCCCCGTTTGTTCCCGCGCTGGATTCTGAAATTGATACAGGCTACTATGACGATTTCACGTCTGCAGAAGACATGGCCAAGTATGCAGAAGTTAAGGAGAAGCAGAAAAATGTAGAGAAAGTAAAAGAGAAAGAAGAGTCATTTGGCAGGGGAGTATGGGTGGGATTCACATTCGGGAAAAATGGACCTGGGGCGAAGATTCTCGATACATTCGACACAAGGCTTGATGATAATGGAGCGCTGGCTACCATATTTTGAGCAGCCTACTTACATCCTCTGTACAATTTATATGACCTTACCATTCACACGCCCTGTCCACTAAAATTGGGTATTTTTGCAATTGTATGAAGAATTATCAGTAGCAAACTCGAAAAATAATTAATCAATCAGAACCGTCAACAAGATACCAATCGTAAACAGTTGACACGCCAATACTCGTGATGCGTGAACTCGTTATATGGAGTGAATTACAGCGAACTAAGCATTTTATTGTAAAGAGAATACTTCATGGGGCAGAACCAAAGTGAAGCGGTTTCCAGCTTAGTGGTCCTGTCCGGCCTGGATTTCGATTACCTCCTGAATACACCCGGAGTCATCCATACGAATCCTTCAAACTGTGGTCAGCTCCTATCGAACGCGATGCTAAAAATACGTACAAAACCTCGTCTTCAATATTGGTGTGATCCTTGACACGCATGTGGATCATGGGTAGAGCGAAGAGAAGACCGGCTACGAGAAGGACCCAAGTAGACACAAAGATATTCATATATCTGACGGATAGTCTCCATAAGTATCAGCATGAGACTCGGAGAGAAAGTGACAACGTACGGAAGCATGACAGCATCTGCTCGCCAAACGCCTGCAGCACCGGCAGACTGGATTGACTTGTCTTTGAGCGCCAATGTAAGCTCAATGTCTGTGGTGGTTATTGCTATTCACTTACAAAAGCCAGCGAAATGAGCGAGTTTAGATGGATCATTTGACATGGCACCCATCACCCAGTAAGCAGTAGTCTGCCACATAGCATCCAGCATCCCACAAAAAATATACAGCCATACTTTTCCGGTGTATCCGTGATCATAGATATCCATCTTCGGTGAACCTACGGGTAAACTATCTCGCGTATAATCCCTGAAACATAGAAGTCAGCGACAGAAGGTCCAACATAAAATGCCTGACTTTTGATAAAAATATGCCCAGATATGAACGACGAAAACCATCATCATCAAGACAGACCAGCCCGAAAAAGCGCGCACACGCCTGCTTAATCCATGTTGGTCGAGGAGAAGGCCAATGCTGACAGATCCTACAATTTGCGACAGCCAATATACAAAATTATTCAAAGATCGTGCACGAATGTTGAAAAGAGCGGCGTTATAGTCATTGAACTCTGTTGTCAATTTCAACAATTATGCTTTGAGATAGTAGTATGGTAGTGACGTACGCCAGGTGTAGAACCAGTTGCTCGCAAAAAACATGGGGAATAGGAAGACGATCATGGGGTCAGTTCTTAAAGCAATCCAAAGTCCGTAAAACTCGGTCTTCCAAGAGGGGTGTCGAGGGGCGGTGACCTTGGTACCATCAGTACGAATCATCTTGTCAGGATCCACCATCAGTAAAGGAATGAGTACGCCTATCATAGTTAGGACGAGGAATCCGATCTAGAAAAACAAATTGGATGGATGAAATGCGTAAAAAAGGTAGACTAGTACATAGGTGCCATTTCCAACTACATAGGACGGGTAAGGTGAGAATGAGTGTAAGCTTCATACTTGAAGATTAAAACTTACCACCATTACCCTAAATGGGAGCAAAGCAGTGAGCTTGCGGCATACAAGAAAATGGAAACCACCCACGGTTGAATCGAAGTTTTGGCCAAAAGAAACGGCAGCACCGACAACACCTCCTAGATTGAAGATAGACCAGAATATACCGATGAACTTTCCTTTCTGGTTCTCGGTAGGATACGCTAGCATGAGCGATCCTTGAGCTGTCCACAATAAACCCGCACAGATACCTAGGACGGCGCCAGCGACTACTACAAAAACTCCAGCGTGAGCATGTATATTGACGGCGCTGTAGAACGCTTCTTAGTCGTGCTATCGTAAGAAAAAATATGGGACGACGATACAGATAAGATCCTATGTACAGAGCATAGCCCGTACTGCCAAGAAGAAGAGTGACTCGAGGACCAAGTTTGTTGTTGATAGAGCTACCGGCAAAAGTATGCAACAAGTCTTTGACAACAGAGAAACGCGGACATACCCAGCAAAGAATGCAAAGAACGCAAAAGTAGAATATAGCGCTGCATTAGCGTTGGCGCTGTTGGTCGGATCGACTTGACCTCCACCACCGAGCCCATTGAGTGCATTGAATAACCCAGGACACATAAAGCAGACAAAACCAAGCATAGCAACTTGAGTGACAGGATGATGATATAGTCCTTTGAAGCCAGTGGGCTGTTCGAATATTTCACCGCGCTGAGATGCGGACTCATAGTCACTGCCAAACTCCTTCTCCCTCGCGACGTCGGACATGTTAAAAGCTGTAAGCACTGTCTAACGGGGCCCGTCGATATAATTGAAAAATGGCAGTTGTCGAGGTTTACTTGAAGAAGTTAAGGAAGTAGAGTAATTATACGCGACGATAACTGCTAAAAGGAAGCTCACCACACATCAAGTGATTGGTTGCTAGTCAGCTGGTGCTATGCTATTAGGTCTGGGCATCAAGATGGATTTAATTACCCGGCTACCTCAAACGTCGTTTTGGGCCTTGTTTTTACCATTTTCTTCCCTGACTTTTCACTGTTTACAGCCCAAAGCACGTTATGGCAACCCAGATACGGTTTTTCTTAGCCGATATCATTGACGGAATACCATCAAGTCCAGGATATTGATACCTAGTCTCCCTTAGGCAAACCCAAAAAGGGAACTCTATTTTGGGAGACTCGATTTCAATATTATGATTACACATCAATCATTATCGACCGCGTCGATGGATGCGAACAATTGTAAATACGTTGGACAAGCTTAGGTTTTTCAGATGCGGCCTAGTCGATATATTGCTAAATAGAGTCTGTTCCGAAATACCGGGCTTTTCTGTATCCTAATTAGGAAACTTATGTAATGTATCAAAATGTCAGATCAGTTCAATGAGAATGAATGAAAGAATGGAGAATTTATATTAATGTCCATAATATGTCAACACACACCCTCAAACCGAACTCACTCCCATCATCTTAACAAAATATTCTAGCTTGGGTTGAGCCAGTGGTTTTGTAAGGCAATCTGCAGGCATTTCTTCAGTAGGACAGTAGAGTGTTTGAATAGCTTTGTTTTCTACAGTTTGTTGAATGAAATGATAGCGGATGTCAATGTGTTTGGTCCTCAAGTGGTACACATTGTTCTTTGTTAATTATATAGCACCACAGTTGTTGCTGTGCATAGGGACTGGTGGTTGCAATGGATTATTGGTTGTTTTGGCCCATATGCTCTTGAGCCAAATTGCCTCGTTTGTAACATGTGTCAAGGCCACATATTTGGCCTCAATTGTGGATAGAGTAACTATTGATTGAGTTTTGCACCTATTACTCCCACACTCTGGGCTTATTATAGCGGTGCCTTGCACCAGATAGTGCCATATAATAAAGCCTTAAAATCCCATTTTTGAGCACCGGCGGTGCACACCGGCCATTCAGGCCACTTGGAAGATTTTGGCCTTGGAAACAGCATGTGACGGCACCATGTGCTCCGTGCTGAGGCAGAACGGGCCACATCATCCATCCATATTAGGTCAGTGTCTGTTGTCATCGTCTCAGACAGTGAGCACACTATATAACTCAATTCTTCACCGTTTTCAGGCAATTGTTTTTAAATACTAATGTATCATACTACGAAATTGTAGCATATGACATCAAGAAATACCAAAAGGTGAGTCTCATACTTTGTTGATGGTCTGTGCACCATTAAAGTTCAAGTTGTGACATTTGTCACATCACACCTAACAGGTTTGTTGCAGCTGCACACACGCTTATCGGTTGCCCTCAACGTCCATCAGCACCCTCACACCATGGGATGTTGAGCAAGGTACACTGTTTGAGGGACTTCACAGTCAATGCAGGTTCCAGTGGGTCAATCAAGGGAAACAGTTTGTCTCAATAGCCTCAAACAACGGGCTGAGGATGCAGTGGCAGAGTTTGCATCATTTATCAAGTGTAAGTCTTTTTTTTTTGCTATTCTCAGTTAATCTCTTCCATTTACACAGGATTGGACTTGCACCAGCGGGATCAATACCTTAGAGTGGAATATCTCGCAAGTATAGCCAAAAAAAAAAACATCCATGAAGGCACACTCTTGCATCCAATTGACATGCCTTTTGTGGTGCCACCTGCTGGTGAAGAAGCATTCTCCCTTAGCCATGCTGGCGGGGAGTTTGAGGCATATACAGCATCAACAAGACTGTTTAATGCCGCTTCCCATCAGTAGTAGACCAGGCAAAGATCATTTTTCTATTGAAGTAATTGATGTTTTTGGTATGTACAGATTGGTTTCATTGCTGAAATGCTGACTACAATACACTGCTAGAACAAAAGCTTTACATTTTTTTGCATGTATCCCAGTTTACAAATGTATCCCTCATGCACAGGGGTTGCATTGGGTCATCTCCTGTCAAGCCCACAGTGGCAATTACTCTGCACGAGCTAGAGAACTATTGACAGACCTATCATGTGTGCCCACGTCATAGCATCCATGCAGAAGTCAAGAAGCTTTTCCACGTATATTGTGTAAGTGTAGTATAATAGGCCCTATTTTCAACTCAAAGTGTTTTGTACAGGTACGCTACCACTGCTATCTGGCTGAGAAATTTAGGGCTTCATATGATGTTTACTTGGAAATTCATTGCCGTGTTGACAATCACATCAACAAAGCACTCGGGTATGATACCCCATACCAGCATGTACTCAATTCTTGCCCACCGTGTTGATATAAACTGGAAGGGGAACTAAAACTCTCCTTTACAATGGAGATTACCATGAATGGCAATAACTCTGCTAAATTTGTGGACCCAGCATTCTGTAGAGGCTGTGAACGTCCAGAACCCAGGGATGGAAAGTCTACTGTCTGGATTAGTGAGGAATATGTGAACCAATTCAAAAATGAAGTCCAAAGTCTGCAGCAACAGCCTCAAGCTGATAATGCAGATCCTGATGATCCCTGGATAGATGATCATGAAGCAGCTGACCCAACACAGGATCAAAATGTATGTGTTGACCACTGGCATAATATGGCTCCCAAAGCTCAAAAAAAAATGTTTGCTATTTTCTGCAAATCTGGCATCTTTGTGCTTTGTGGCTGTCTGCTGTTATGGATTTTTGCTTTCAATCTGTGGTATGGTTTGTTCTGGCGAACTGTAAGTGAATCTCATCCAGGATTACGTGTTTTATCTAATATCTTGAAAAGTATGAAATATCTGCTTGCGACAATCAGCCATTTGATGGAGGTCTTGCAAGAGCCATTTTTATATGGTTATGATATCCACTGTGCATTTAGCAAGGCTCTTCTCCACTCTTTGGGCCCCATGGTGAAAAAGCTTGGCGTGGATGGAGTTGTCCCCACATTTCATGGCTATGCTCACAACCAGCTTTGTCAAGTCCAGTACCATTCAAAGTACAAGGTTGGCCCAGGAAAGGAAGATTTTGAAACCTGCAAACAAATATTATCTGGTTCTAACACCCTTGCACCTGAGATTCGCAACAGCACAGAGTTTCATTGGCATTAAGCGCTTGATGAGTACTTCAAGTTCTCTGATATTGATAAATATGCATTGTTGAGTAAATTTTTTTGTTTTTGTTTTTGTGATTTCGCAAGTGACAGAGTCTTTTGACAGGTACATTCATATACCACAATTATGTCCAGGCCCTCGACATTATCAGTATCAACACAGAATTACTCCATCACTCACAATTGACCAGCAACAACTTTGAAGCAGATTTAACTGACAAACACCAGTATCTTCAGCAACTCAGTAGTAAAAAAAATGAAGATAGTGTTGAGATGGAGTATGTCAAAGCTTTGAATGAAATAGATGAAGCTGAGTATGGTGTTTGTCATATTTTTCACAGTGTGTTGCTCATTTGTTCAAAATCTTGTCACGTGCAGCATTATCTATTAAGAACAAAGCTTAAGGGAAGTGTCTAACCACTTGCTGAGAGTTATCAGGGACTGAAACTAGAGTCCAATGTGAGTAACTATATTATTAGAGAGTATGACAGGTATACAGTACCTAGAGTCCAATGTGAGTAACTAGAGAATAGGAAGCATTGGACTTTGCAGTACTGTCCGATGTTTTGTAAACAAAGTTAAACAAAGGAGCCACAAAGGCAAAATAATAGAGAACACAATCAATACTGAATGGTAGAGGAATAGATAGAGAAAGAAATGAAAATATAGAGGTAGCACAAAGGTGCAGAATGACCAAAACTAACATTATCTGAATCTAACCGCCTTGATCTCCGCATTTTAACAGATGGATTTACACGGAAGGAAATTGCAGAACTACAACGCAAGTGTGCAAATGCACAAAACAAGCTTGAGCTCAAGTTGGAGGTTGTTCAGGCTTTCAAGACTTGGAGTTGAGGAAAGATGGACTGTGGCACATCCTGAGCGTCAAAAGGCACAATCTCGCCTTGTCCACCACTACTTTTATAAAGCTGTTGATGATGTTGATGTTAAGCGGTTAGTGGTTATGCAGCTATTGAAACTTATAAAGCTACAAATGAGTGGCTTGGGTAAAAGTTTTGACACATGTTACAAAACTCCAGCTGATGTTGGTATCTACAGGCTACAAACTAGGGACACGGATTGCCAAGGCTCTGGAAACTCACGTAGCTGCTATATAAAATGCCATAGAATACTATAACAAGTATGCTGTGTTAGAATATACTCTGACATACCAATACCCCATAGGATAATACCTCTGATTTGTAAGCCAATCCAGTATGCAGCAGCTATACTGTGTAAAACGTCCGTGGTTGCATGTTATGTTTAAGATCCTATATTGTATAACCTTGGCCATATAGCTCAATTGGTAGAGCAACTGGCATGTATCCAGGAGGTTCCAGGTTCAATCCCTGGTCTGGTCATTATCCAATTTTATCATGCCACTGAGCTTGATCCTCCGAAGGCCCCATTAACATTGGATCAAATTGCAGAGTATTCTTTCATTGCAGAGTTTGATCTACTTTGTGACATTACTGGCAAAGTTGAAGAAAAGAGATGGGCTATTCCACAAAACTGTCAAGCTGCATGTCAGTACTTCGAGATTACACGGGCAAAAGAGGAGATCCTTTGCTGCAACATTGAAATTGCAAGACTCCGAACTAAGTCTACTTCTTTCCAATTCAAAGCACCAATGTATTTGGCTTTGTCGATCCCACAGATGTACTTCAATCCTGCCATCTCATTCCAAGTTTCAAAACTGGCAAGTCACATCCTGATGGAGTTGGGCTTTTAAAGTCTGCTGGTGGCTCGCAAGACTAGAAGTTTTATTATGTGAACAGGTTCAGTTAGAATTTTATCATATTATCATATACTCAAGCTGAACATTCCACCAGGTTTGTAGACCAAAACATGCTGATGCAATTTTATGATGGCCACGAGTCTGGGCACACTTATGCAGGCAGACTGATGTCCAATATGCCAGTAGAAGGAGCTCCTGATACAAAGACACTGTTTCCAAAAACACAGATCTGCCTGCACCAAGTCTTGCAAACTCGAGCTCCAGTAACCCCATGTTTGACCCAAAGGTTAATGTGGAAGATGTCGCAAATAGTAGCAACCCCAAATAAAATCACATTGACTTATACTCAAGTAATGGAGGCTTGGCCGAGCTGGCCTATTATGCTCCTGGATGGTTTTTTGGAGCACCTGCATAATTTCACAACATCCAATGAGACCACTGGCTATACCAAATATTCATACAGGATGTCCCTATTGTAGCTGGATATCTATTGCTATACCCACAAGGTTTGATAAAACACCTATCAGTACTGCTGGTGTTCTATTAGTCATACAAAATATTTATATTTTAGCTGGATATCCTTTGGGAATACTATACTGTATCCATAGTATGTAATGTAACTACTTTAGATATTACTTTTGTAGATACTGCAAATACTCCTAGGATATTCCCTGAGAATACCAGATGGTGTTAAAGTATCTAATATAAGTACTGTTAGCTTCTCAATAGTTATCCAAAATGTTCCTATAGTATATCCATATATTGTCCAAAAGACTAAATAAAATTACTTTTTGCACTATTGGTATTCCAATAGGCACCCATATTTTACCTAAAAATACTATGAAATTACCAAATAGTGTTCAGAATAACCAAATAAAGCTAATATTTGTACTGTTGGTGTCCCAATGGTTATCTGTAATATCCCTATTATACCCTAGATGTCCTTTAGGAGTACCTGTATAACACCTACAATATCTAATAATATTACACAATGCTACTTATTTCTACTGGGTATATCAAGTACTTTGGTAGGATGTCCCTATTGTCTTATAGATCTTCTTTGAGAATATCTACATTTTGTCCAAAAAACCCAATGATGTTACTATCTGTACTGTTGGTATTCCAGTGTACATCTATATTAACCATATTGTATCTATAAATCCTGTGAAAGTACCAAATAGTATTCATAATATGTAAAAAAACTAATAACTGTATTGTTTATCTCCCAATAGTTTATTTAAAATATAATTATTATATGGTGTTCACAACATTCAATGGAACTACCCTGGATACTACTTATTTCTCACTAGATATCCCAGTTGCTCTAGTAGAATGTCTCTAATTTACTTTTGCTGTCCTTTAATAGTATTATATATTATCTAGAAAGCCTAATCATACTATTATTTGTACTGCTGGTATCCTAGTAAGTCCTCTAAATTTTTTTTAGTTATATGTGAATGTTCTTTAAAAGTACTAAATAGTGTTTAAAATATCCAAAGAAACTAATATTTATACTATTGGTGTCTCAATGGTTATCTAAAATATCCCTATTATATCCTGAGTGTTCTTTAGGAGTATCTGTATAGTGTCCACAATATCCAATAAAGACTACCCTGAATACTATTTATATCCCACTAGGTATTTCAAATAGTTTAGTAGGATATTCTTATTCTATCTTGGATGTCCTTTAGGAGTATCTATATGATATTCCAAAATAATCCCATTATATATCATGAACACTATACAAATACTCCTAAAGGACATTACTATATAACTTTTGTTACAAGTGGAACTTCTCATCTACTTGTTTATCTGCCACTATAACAATAACAGCAAATGGTATATGCTGTCATAATGTAATATTTCTTCAGGCCACCATCCACATAATATAGCTACTTATTGATATATCTAAGCCTGACAGTATACTATCAATGCTTGTTCAGCCTTGTAGAGCATTATATTCCTATATATGATCAGGCAACACGTAGAGGAGTGAGTTTGTACAGTGACTCCAAAAACTGTTGCAATGTTTGGCCTAAACACGGTGCACGAAGTGCACCACTAACAGACATGAGAATGTTGCTTGACTTTGGTGGGGTCAACAAAAGTACTTGGTCTTGGCTACAAAATGGTTCTTGGGTTATGTGATTTGGCCCAGCGGCTGTGGAAATATGTCTATTTCAAAGCAGCAATATCATTACAACAGTTTTATCACTTTTGGTATCAAGGGTGATATCTAGGGAATATCAGTACTTGGTATAGCCTCCTTTTGCCTTGAGCACTGCTTGAATCCTCCTAGGCATGCTTTCAATTAAGTTGCAACACTCTACAACTGCTATCTTCTCCCACTCCACTTGAATCCTCTCCCACAACTCCTCCATCCCATTAGGAGGGTGTTCATACTCTGCAAGCCTCCTCTTGAGACAACCCCACCCATGTTCAATATAATTAAGGTCAGGAGACTGTGCAGGCCACACCATAATTCTAAATTCCTGATCATCTAGCCACTCCTTGACCTTTTTGCAGGTATGCTTGGGGTCATTATCTTGCTGAAAAATGATGTCAGGAGGATTAAAACCATAATACTGCAGGGTGTTCAACAGCTCATCCTTCAAAATCTGAAGGTAAAGGTCCCCATCCATCCTACCATCAATTCTAGCAGCATACACAACTCCCTCCCAAGTCATACAGCCCCAGATCATCATAAAATCTCCTCCAAACTTGAGAGTTCCCTGTACCAATCTATCACCGAGCCCCTCACCTGGCTTTTTCCACACCCACCTGTGTTCATCTGACCCCAGGCGGTTGATTTTGGTCTCATCATACCATACAACCTTCTTCTAATCCTCCACAGTTCAGTCCTTGTGAGCATGAGCAAAGTCCAACCTAGCCTTACAATGTTTGGCAGAGAGAAGAGGGTGTTTTTGTTTGACCACAGCCTTCATGTCAGTCTTTTTCAAGTGCTGGCGGACAGTGTTTGGGGAAAGAGGTTGGTTGGTTGATAATGTTGGTAAGAGCTTTGGTGATCTGGACAGTATTTTCTGCCTTGCGAGTGGAGATGAGATGCATAGCATGACAAACATTGGCAAGAGAGAGCTTAGATGGTCGATCTCCAACAGACTTTTGGAGCTCAGAACACTCCTTGGAGCGAAGTCTAAAGATGGTAGAGATATGGACACCAGTGGTAGAGGCAATAAAGTGAGCAGTTTGACCTGTATCAAGGAGGTCAAGAATCTGGTTTTTTTGAGCAGGAGAAAGGGATTTCATGATGATGGTGGTTGAGAATAAAGAAGTGTGTGAACTTTTTTAAACTTATAAACAATGTTTATACATGTATTTTTGTTTGTGGGACCAAAAAAAGCCAGATATTCTATGATATTATTGTGATTTCTGCTTCCAACTCAAAAGTGAAAAAACTGTTGCAATGGTATTCCTGTTTTGAAATGGACATATTTTCACAGCCGCTGGGCCAAATCACATAACCCAGGAACCATTTTGTAGCCAAGACCAAGTACTTTTGTTGACCCCACAAAGTCAAGTAACATTTATATGCCTGTTAGTGGTGCACTTCGCGCAACCGTGTTTAGGCCAAACATTGCAACAGTTTTTGGAGTCACTTAAACTCCGCCTGGTCATACCCCTGCCCTCACAATTTCCTGATACAAGAGCTACAGATTCACATACACAAGCTTGTGCTTCACCAACCCAGTCTATCACTTACAATGTTTCATACACCTAAAAGATTTGAAATTCCTAGACAAAAGCATTTCTCTAGAGCGAACTTGCCTATGAGAGGTGAGTAATGGTTGTCTTTTTATTTTATTTGTAACAGGCATGTGCTAACCATTTTTATTTTCAGTTCCCATAGAGATATTCTACATGATCACGATATTTGTGATCCAAGGTGACTACAGCAAAAATCATTGGTTTGGATGGGTTGAGGCTGAGAGCTCGGAGGTATTTGCCAGGGCCACCTGTTAACTATCTCTGGTGTGCAAGGGATGATATGAGGTGATAAAGACCCTATCAACCCTCTGGTCTACTTTGTGATAATACCTGGAGCCATTTTCCTCTGTTTGTCTGAAGATTACAGGTATTGCACCCCTAAACATAGACATTTGGATTCCTTGACAAACCAATTGGGAACATCATGGCAGGGATGAACAGTATGACTGGTATGGAAAGAGGGTTTGGAATGTGTTTGATGCACCATTAGAGACCTTGAAGTGTGTACCTCATATCCACCAATTGACTATTAGAAACTTTTCCCAATGTCATGAATCAGCTCCATCCTTCTGTGTTTATGAGATAGCCAGAATATGTGTGGGCAATCTCTATGGAAGCCTGGTTTTCAAGCAGTTAGAGAAGTTAGAGTTCATGTCAGAGTGCAGCTCAGATCTCTGTTCTAGCAAATCCCCCTTGTTCAAGGTAGAGGAAGCTAATTTCCCCACCCTTCACACTCTGACCACCCCTTTTTTCCTAATGAAGCCATTTGTTGCTCTCCTGAAGCTCACCCATTTGACAGTTGGAAATTGCTTCTTCAATTCTGGCTATATCAACCCTTTTTGTGCTCTGAAAAACTTTCTAAATTTGACAGATTTGGTCCTCAATATGGAATCCCAACTTCCTGCTGAACATGGAATACTTATCACCTTGCCTTCACTCAATTGTCTGGAACTCTGGACCTTGTCAGCTGTGGAGGCAGTATACAACCTTTACACCCCCACACTTTCCTGGCTTTCCATCAACATCTGTGATAGACATGTCAGTCCACTCATTCCTTATTCCTTCTTCAAATCTCTTTTTGGGGATGGTGGGCTGGCGATACTTCAACACCTCAATATCTCATGAATATAAGTCAACGACAAAACATTGCTAGATATACTGTTAAACACTGGCTCCCTGGAGGAATTGGAGATCACATTGGACTTGGATGGGGATCAGTCACCTGTATATGAGTGCTGTGCACATTGGTTAGGGTTGGGTAATCCTTTGAAGAGTTTAACTATCCATCATGGTGGTATTGCTACTTGGATAATCAAAAACACTATTGGAAGACTCTCAGAGCTGGTCAAGAAAGGCTTAGGAGAACATAGGTGGGGAAAATATATTTTATATTTCCACTAAGGACGATAGCACATATTCAATTTTATTTGTCTTTTTTGTTTTGTTAATATCCTTTATCCTGTCTATGTTTACTAGAATTGCATGATACCTAATTTTCAAACTTATTTCTTCTGTGGATTTCTTCACAAAAGATTTGGGTGTCAAAAATATACTTACAGAGCTTATATAAGCTATTGATATACATCTCCATAGTTCTTCTTCATTTGAGACCCATGACACACACATGTAGGGAGCTCACGGGTTGGTGTGCATTCCATCAGAGTCCAAACACCTATCTTGAAATACTTCATGAGTAGTCTCAAATCCAGACAGGTGGAGTCACAGGTGTTCACTGATGATTTTGAGATAGCAACAGCTGTGCTTCAAGACTCAAAGGACCTGTGGCGGGTCAATACACCCAAGTAAGACTCCAAAAGTGCTATACTGCTAGTCACTGGCCAACTTGGGACAAATTAAAAATTGAAATTGAAAAATATTTCAAACCACAAGCTGAGTGTGACTGGGCACACCAGCAAATTTGTACCTTCAAACAAGGAACTGTTACAACCAAGAGTTTGTATACTCTGGCACACAACTCAGACAAAGCTATAAAGAAGTGAGGGGAGTGGTTACCCTTTAGATAGGACCGAGTTTGTTGTGGGTAAACAACAGGAGGACTCGCTGAGGAGTCTCCTTGATCTATTGGGGTATATATACTACTACATGGGGCACAGCCCGTGTGACCAGCTCCACTGCATGAGAGACTTGTAGCTAAAATAAGAAAAATGCAGTGCAGCGCAAGAAAGTGGAGTTTGAGCAAAAATAGAAAGTGCCGCATGGCACTTTGTGTGAAAATACAGAAGAAAGTTAAAGAGGAGATTGAAACATAAAGGTCCAAAATTTGTGTATTGTAACAGGAAACATGAGGACGGATGATTTTGTTACCCAGTTCCTGGCTCTCTCTATTCAAGGGGGCCTAGGAAATGAACATGTGGTGGAGCTGTTGGAGTGCAATGTATCACCAGCCATTGCACAACAGCTTTACATACAAGATATGCGGAGTGAGAACCTTGCAGCAACTACTGAGGAGGTTCAAAAAATTGGTAGGGCTGTGACAACACCAACAAAACACAGTCTTGGGGCACTGGAGTACAATGAAAACAACACTCAAAAGAAGAGGAAGAGGTGGGAGTGGTTACCCATTTGGTAGGAACAAGTTAGTTGTTGGTAGACAATGGGAGGACTTGCTGAGTCCTTCCCCATGTATTGCTCCTATATATATACTAAAATACATGAGGTACTGTACAGTTGTAAATAAAGTTTTAAGTCCAATGTCTAGCATGTGACCAGTCACATGATGAGTCTAGACACTGGTCAGGTGATGTATCACATGATTTGGTCATGTGACTATGAAAAGTTGAAAATATAAAGTAAAGTAAACGGTCAGGTGACTGGTTATGTGACTTGGAAAAATAAAAGTAAAAGTACAAAAAAGTAAGTGTAAGTAGGTACTGGTATGTTGTATTGTAACAAGGGCCATAGAACTTTACAAAATGCAATTTGGTGGTAGGCCCATGACCAAAAACAACTATTCCCAGAGGAGCCCTGAGTCATCAAACCAAAATAATCATCACTCTCATGGGTTCAAACCATTCGGGCTACAGCCAAGACAGGGTGTTCCTATGGATATTGGCGTGGTCCAAGGCAGACAGATGCGCAGATTCAAGGGTAACTGTTACAACTATAGCCAAGAGGGGCACATGTCCCAAGACTATAGAAATGGGGTGCGGGCCGCCCAACAAAAAAATAACCAAGGGTGCCAGGCACGCCAATTAGAAACTGAGAAGCCAGACAATTGGCTTAATACTCTGGTTGGTTGTTCATACAACAAAATCTGGGCTTTTTTCTATGATCAACAGATTGCTGAAATGAAGGCTCAGGGAAAAGAGTTCAGAGCTTAGGTCACTTGGGTGCCTTTGCTCCTCTTAACAATGAAATAAACCACAACAAGGTGGCCCCTGCTCTAGGGTGTTGCACAAGCAATAAAAGAAAGGGGGTGGCTCCCCAATTTGTAAATAGATTTCTAAATTTGTTATCTGAAGTATGTACTTGTATGAAAGGTTGTAATTATAATATTTATAATACTACCGCTGCACCAGCGTCTCCCTTGGAGTGTGGCCCTGGCAAGACAAACACTAGAGTGCTTGATTCTGGTAAAAATAAAAATAAAAACATAGAAAATACTAAAGTAGAAAAACATGTTTCTTTTGATTTTTTTTTGTTGGAGCCACTTCCCACAGAAATCCCAAGACATGTATTGATGCACATATCTTTATTCCAAAAAGAGATCCGTTTAGATGTTGGTGTGGAAGACCTTGCCAGGGGCATAGTACACCCAACCACCGCACTGCTTGATTCAGACACTAACAGCATCTTCATAGATCATGTTTGGGCGGAGCGAGTCGGACTCCACCTTGTAAAATCAGATGTATCTATTCCCGTCTATAATGTTGATGTTACACTTAATACAGGTGGCTGCATTACACACAAATGTTCCTTTGTTGTCAAGTATCAAGGACACAGAGAATAAGTCACTGCTGAAGCTACCCAACTAGGGAACATTAATTTAATCTTAGGCTGGACTTGGCTATTTAAGCACAATCCTGAGATTGACTGGCAGACAAGGGTTGTCACATTGCCACATTGCCCTCAAGAGTGTGATGACCTGGGTAAGCTGAGTCACATCCGTATTACAATTGACATACCAGCACCTACTTACGCTTCACTTTTGTACTTATATATACAGGAGCAATACATGGGGAAGGACTCAGCGAGTCCTCCTGTTGTCTAGCACAACTAACTCACTGCAGCCTAAGGGGTAACCACTCCCCATCATCTTCTTTATAGTGTGTTCCTGTGTGCGTTGGAGTAACTAACTCTTGGTTGTTACAGTCCGTCAAACTGAGCGTCTTGAAAAGATAAATGCTGGTCACATTTATGCCAAACTCAGATCTTTGGATAAGATTGACAATGACAATGATGAGGTAAAACCTGAGGAAGAGATTAAGAGGCTAGTACCTCCAGAGTACCATGACTTTTGGAAAGTCTTTTCAAAACATAAATCAGAGTGCCTTCCAGAGGCTAAGCCTTGGGACCATGCTATAGATTTGAAGGATATGTTCCAACCTAGAAAGGGACACATGATTCCCCTCTGTGCTCCAGAAAGAGATGAGGTTTTAAGTTTCATAGGTGAACAGCTTAGGAAGGGTTATATCAGACCTTTCAAAAGCCCTATAATGTCCCCGGTGTTCTTCATTCCTAAAAAAGATGGTAAGAAGTGTATGATTATGGACTATCATTACTTAAATGAGTACACAATTAACAATGCATATCCGCTGCCTTTAATTAGTCAGTTAGTAGACAAGTTGGCTGGTGCTAAGATCTTAACAAAGATGGATCTCAGATAGGGGTACAATAATGTATGAATCAAAGAAGAAAATGCTTGGAAAACTGTGTTCCTGTGCCACCGAGGATCCTTTGAACCCCTTGTTATGTTCTTTGACCAATTCACCAGCAACCTTCCAGAGCATGATGAATGAGATCTTTGCAGATATGGAAAACTGTGTCTTCATTTACATTGACAATTTTTTGATATTTATAAAGTCGGACGATGAGGCTGAGCACAACAGGATTGTGCAAGAAGTCCTTTGACGCCTACAGGAATGGAACCTATCCATCAAACCCAAAAAATGTAAATTTAAAGTAAAGGAAGTAGACTTCCTTGGTATGATAATAGGCCAGAACAGAATTAATATGGATCCTGAGAAAGTCCAAGCTATTTTGGACTCGCCAGAACCTACTTGCAAGAAGTTAGGGCCTTCTTTGGCTTAGACAATTTCTACCAAAGGTTTATTGAAAACTTCGCAGAGATAACGAGATCATTGAACAATCTCACTAAAAAGGACATTGTCTGGCACTAGGGCGCCAAAGAACAAGAAGCTTTTGATAAGCTTAAACAGGTGTTTACAACAGCGCCCATATTAGCATTTCCAGAATTAGACAAAGAGTTCCTGCTAGAAACCAACTCTTCTGATTTTGCTACTGGGGCTATTTTATCAATCAAATGCCCTGACAATCTTTGGAGGCCTTGTGCCTATTTATCACATAGTTTGTCGCCTACGGAGCGCAACTATCAAATCTATGATAAGGAGATGTCAGCCATCATTATAGCTTTAGAGCACTGGCGGCACTACTTAGAAGGTGCTAGGCACCAATTTGAAGTTTGGACTGATTATTTAAATCTGGAGTATTTTATGATGGCCCGACACTTGAACCGAAGACAAGCCCGCTATGCGGTGTACTTGTCTAGATTTAATTATAAATTAATTCACAAGCCAAATACTTCTATGGGGAAAGCGGGCACTTTATCTAGAAGAGAGGATCATGCCAACAGCATCAAAGATGACAACAAAGGTGTCACCCTGATAGATCAATCCAGGGTTGCCAATGTTTGAATTGGGCAAGACTCCAATCTTCTAGAAGTCTTCAAGAAAGACATCTCCTTAGAAGAGACAGCGCGCTTTGATGGCAATTCACATTATCTATGGGAAGATGGGCTTTTCCATTACAAAGACAAAATCTATGTGCCTGAGTCCGCAAGGATCAAGGCAATAGATAGACATCACGACACTCCAGTAGCTGGGCACCCTAGGTGGCAACAAACAATGGAGTTAATGTCCAGAAACTACATGTGGCCTGGCATGGTCATGGACATACAGGAATACATAAAATCCTGTCTAAGATGTGCCATGGCCAAAAACTCGCATGAACCGCCGGCCGGTAAGCTTATGCCACACCCGATACCAGCTGGTCCCTGGCAGGATATATTGGTTGATTTCACGATGGATCTACCTGAATGACATGGAAATGATTCAGTAATGATGGTAGTAGATCACTTCTCCAAAGAAGTGGTGTTTATTTCCACCAACAAATCTATCACCGCCGCTGGTACAGCAGATTTATTTAAAGATTTTATATGGTCTATCCATGGGTTACCAGAAACAGTTACCCCCAATATGGGACCACAATTTGCTAGCGAATTGACGAAAGAACTTTGCCGGATGCTGGGCATCAAACCTAAATTATCAATGGTGTTCCATCCACAGGCCAATGGACAAACGGAGAGGCTCAATCAAGAATTAAAGCAATACCTCTGCATATTTATTAATGACAGGCAGACAGATTGGGCCAAGTGGCTAAAGATAGCCCAGTTTATTAAGAACAAAGCTTAAAGGAAGTGTCTAACCACTTGCTGAGAGCTATCAGGGACTGGAACTAGAGTCCAATGTGAGTAACTTTATTATTAGAGAGTATGACAGGTATACAGTACCTAGAGTCCAATGTGAGTAACTAGAGAATAGGAAGCATTGGACTTTGCAGTACTGTCCGATGTTTTGTAAACAAAGTTAAACAAAGGAGCCACAAAGGCAAAATAATAGAGAACACAATTCACACTGAATGGTAGAGGAATAGATAGAGAAAGGAATGAAAATATAGAGGTAGCACAAAGGTGCATCACCAAAACTAACACTCCCCCCTGATGCTGCACCTCCCTGTTAGAATATACTCTGACATACCAATACTCCATAGGATAATACCTCTGATTTGTAAGCCAGCCCAGTATGCAGCAGCTATTCTGTGTAAGATGTCCGTGGTTGCATGTCATGTTTAAGATCCTACATTGTATAACCTTGGCCATATAGCTCAATTGGTAGAGCAGCTGGCATGTATCCAGAAGGTTCCAGGTTCAATCCCTGGTCTGGTCATTATCCAATTTTATCATATTAGACATGATATTATTGTGTCATCCTTAACAACCCAGTGTCATGCACCAAAGTTGATTGGTAGCATGGACAGGTGTCAATAACAAAGCGAATATTCAAAAAGACTTGCCTTTGCGCCACACAGGCACAGTGCCATGTGGAATAGTAATTAATATTGCCTTTTCCAAACTTGTGGCTGATCAGCACCACCTCTATTAGGCAATCCAGTCACACTCACCTTTGCTTTTCCACTCGGTACTTTTGGCATTTTGGCATTTTGGCAAATTTTTGTGTTGCCACTGGCTACACATTGCATTGCGCCCTCGCTTTTGTTGTTTCCTTCACTTCCCTTCCTTTGCCTAGCCCCACCATGGGTCCCTTACTCTCGTTTTTATTCTCACCCGATGGTCATTTCTGGATCCCCATTTTAGTTCACCTCCTCGTCACCTCCAGCCTCCTCCTCCTCATCTTCTTTGCTCCCCCACCATTTCTGATGTCACCACTTCTTATCCGCTTCCGTCGCCAATCCGTCAACTACCACGTGCCCCGGCGGCTGGTCCAAATAGGGCAACAGGTCCATCTTTATGACATTGATCTACCATCATATACTATCAAAACATCGGTCGCTCGTCTTGCCTGGTTGGAGCGTGGGTGGGTAGTTTTTGAGCTGGAGAAGGTTCATCCCCTTGCATCGCCCATGTTCATTGCTGTCCCATTCACTTGGGTACACTTATCTTTTGTCTATCGTCTTTGCTACAGCTACACCTACCACACGCTGCCTGGGACTCACTTGTTCCAAATTGGGACTACTCCTCTCCCTCCCTCGTTTGACCAGGTGGTCCAACACAACCAGTCCATTGGTAAGGCCATGGAACCGTTGGATTTGGACTAGGTGTGGACCAGTGGCTCCAGTTTCTTTTTTTTCAGCAGAACATTCATTTACAGTGCAATTATTTTTGATTTTTGAATCATTTTATGGACACATATTTTTTAGAATGCCTGACTGACAATAAAGGAACTGTGTTGATACTGATAGTGTTTTGCCTTGCCCTTTTTTTACTGCATCTTCCCATGACATCATGATTTTCCTGCTCTCTTTTTGCTATTGGACTTTACTTTATGGCTGTACAAACCTGTGA